AAATTCTCTTTCAAGAGTCTCGCACGGCTCGCTCACCCGTTCATTTTGCTCGTTGTAAATAGAGAATGGGGGGGGGGGTGGAAAGAGTGAGAGGGAGAGAAGTATAAAGAGACAAAGAAGGCGAACAAAAAAATCAATCACAGCCGAATATTCGATGTGCGTTCAATGAAAATTCAATTCACATCGACGATGATGCTTTCAATCGTGCTAGCACTAAGTGTATGTATACACAAACCAAAAAATCGGAATCGTAAACATTTTGGCATGAAAATGAGCAGCACGCACAAAAACTTCCAATGCGTAAAAGTGAAAATGTAATGTAAACTGATGCGAACATGTGTAAATCATCCGTTTCTGTGTCAGTTACGAGTCTCGTTTTCTTCTTTTCTCTATCTCTGTCTCGCTCTCTTCTCGTTGCGAATATCTCATGGTCTCGGTTATCTCTATTTCTCTATTTGTTTGTAGAATTTTGTGTGTGCGCTCATCGTTCTATTTTGCGCATTCATTAGAGAATTGAACACATTCCAATTGTTGTGTTTGTGTTTTGTATGGACTGCATTGGAATTCGAGAAGCATACAAAAGCACACACACACACACACACACACACACACACACACACACACACACAATTGGTAGCTGTTCTCCAACTCGTACGACGAATTGGATTTTAGTGCCATAAAGTATACATTGTGTCTATGGTCAAAGTGAAATAGAGTGAGAGATTGAAATGTAGCGAGTGTGTGTGCGCAAAGAATTTCTCGCCATCAACTTTGGCACAACGCTGACCGCAACCAAAATGAATAAATATCGAAGGCTAAAAGGAAAAATACTTGCATTTTGATGTTAATATTAATTTTAAAGCACTTTACTGATTAGTTCCACGAACCGCTATGCCATTATTGTTATGTGTTGCCTTTTCTCCTTTCTCACTTTCGTCCTTTATTGTTTTTTTTCCCCTTTCTATAGCTTATCGAAAATTGCTTCTCATTTATTTTACATGAATATGTGCGCAATGACGGCAAACGAGGCGGACCAGCCGACCGACCAAATCATAAATCGCTTGAATATTCAGATATTGGTAGCAAAAAGCGGCCGTACACTCATTCGTTTTTCTACCCACAAGCAGATCGGCAACAACAACAATAACTACGACAATGGCAACGGCAATGGCAACGGCAATGATGACGACGATGTGATGCAATATGGAAAATCTTCGGAATTGACGTTTTATTGCCGAGAGAATTTTCGCGCAAAATAACCTCACCAAAACAGAAAAAAAAATATTCTAGTGGATTATTCGAATGAAGTGCATGACGACAAAAAGTGTTTGAAATGAAAGCGCGCGGTTCCTTTAATTCTTTTAAATGGTTCATGATTCGAAGGCTTAATCTGTTTTGCGGTGCTAAGAAATCCAGCCGTGCGAGCAAATGCATCGTACACGAATGCACAGTGCACACACGGCTAAAGGATATAAGTGACATTCATGGTCGGGCTAAAAAAAAATTAACAACAAAACCCCAAGGAAAATATAAACATATTTGAAAACAGTGAGCATTCTGAAGCAGGGTGAACAAACACACATACACACACACAGTACGATTCATACTGTACGAACTAGAGCCAGTGAAAAAACCATGTAGGATGAAAGTATAAGCACGCAGAAGAAGAAAAAAGTCCTCGCTGCGTGAAAAAAGCAATAACAATAATAATTCGTGGGAAGTCGCTGCGTTGTTTTCTCTCATGCACGTTTTTCTCCGTCGCTCGCTACATCCCGGTCGCAGTTTATGTGCTTCGGTTCAAAGTGAAGCGAACTTTATACCCATCATCATATGCGTACAAATCTTCATTCACTTCGCTGTCGTATTCGGCAAATAATATTGCGAACGGAAAGTTTAACAATCAAAAACACTTCGAGAATTTGTGTGCTGTATGTGTGTGTGGAATTAGTTTTCACGTTCGTTTTCAAGCAAAAAAGAAGCAGTTGAGTTTTCTCGCTTTCACTGCGTTGCTAGTGTGTTTCAGCTCCACTATATTCCCAGGATAATTTTCAGTCCATTTGCCTTTTGGTTCTTGTACGGCAAAAATCTGTTCAACGATGAAAATAGAATCTCAAATTTATGCATTACGAAACACGACACTTCGCCCTCCTCCCAATACAATATGTGTACTTCCCACATTCGATTTCTAGCTATGAAACCGCACTCGGCGCGATTTCTGCTAGCAGAATATTCGCTCATTTCAGATATGTAAATTAATATAATATTCTTGCGCTAATGTAACTAAAAGCGTGTGCGCGAGCGTGTGAGTGAGATATGCCTAGTCATTACCATTATCACATACATATCGAATTTAGCCCTGTCACGAGAGAGCACTGGATTATTTTTTTCTTTTTTGGAATTATTTTTGATGAAGCTTTTAACACATCCCCTCTCCGTGTTCGCCTTTTCTTCTAATTCATTTTTTTCACTACTTTTTTTCCTTCTTCAAGAATTGAAATCAACGAGCATATGGCTCTCTGACATTTCAATGTGGCGCGTTTCGTGTTTGTGTGTAAGTGTGTATGCTCGTTCTGGTTGGAGCTTATGTCGCTTGAGTAAGTTTGCATGTGCTGGAACACTTAGTAAATTCTCTCACGAACATTAATTTGCTGTAATGGAAAATGTGCTGAATATTTCACGTTGAAAACTGCCTGAACAATAATATCTCAAAAGAGATAATAGAAGAAAAGGCTGCTTTATTTATTTGCAAATGCGGCATAACAATAACAAGCAAACGGCACGCGCGCGCGTACCGCACACCGCGCAAACACAAAACAACCAACCGAACATAGTGCAAAAGAAGAAAAAAAAACGTACGTATATCTATCTATCTAAAGAATTGGAACTGAGAAGCAACAAGATTGCGATTAATGCGATCAAATGGCTAGGAGCTGTGTGAATTGTTGTCTGCAGCGAGCAAAACAATGCACAAAATGGATAGCGAGAGAGAGAGAGAGAGAGAGAGAGAGAGAGAGAGAGAGAGAGAGAGAGTATGTGTGTGGGTATGTGTTGGAACAAAGCAATAACAACAAATATAGCGAAGCGAGAGGCCCTATATCATTCCAGTTGAATCATTTCTTTTGTAATCAACAGTGATGATAAAGTGCTTGTTAAACTATTTTGCCGAGTGAAGAAGAGTGTGCGATTCTTGACAACGCGCGTTTATGCATCAAATGTCCTCTTATCGTATGTTCAGGAAATATTACGGTCAAACTATATGTGCTTGGGGTTTCATGTGATGTGACTGTGTGTGTGTATTTCTGTTTCTGAGCTTAGTGTTTCGGAGCACTCAGTAGCAACCGATTTGGTTTGGTATGATAGCCACCGTTGCCTTCGCTGTCGCCGTTCATTCTTCGATAGTGGCGACAATGAATGACAAATATGTGTGGTCATTCAGATTGATGGGCAAACACTGAATGCACCGCACACACAAACACACATACACTTCATTTAATTAAATTAAATAGTCCGGCATTCGGTCATTTGGTTCTTTATTTATTCTGAACTACCAGTTTGTATTGATACCGTTTCTATGGCAAAACCACAAATAAATTTTCTTTTTTAATTTTGCCAGTCGGCTCGATGATTGTAATGCACTCATGCAGTCCAGCGATATGGCCATTGAATTTTGCACGGAGAACGGTGGCCAAACACACAAAACTGAAGAAAAGCAAAACAAAAAGCAAATCAAATGAAAACATTGCGCGAACGAGCGAATGTGATAGAGCGAGGAAGATATGAAAAAGCTACCGTGATCAAAGAATCGCTACTTGCAATTCGAACAAAAACTATAGCGATTTTGTCATTCCCTAGAATCGAAGAAATAAACCGAACAAACACACATTTCTCCATTGAATCCGGCTATATGGAATTGGGTGGAACGTGCATTGTGAGGCATTTTTCAACGAGAAACTGGCACGAACAATCAAAATATGCTGATCGTTTGTTTTTATTTGCAATGATAAAATGGGAGAATAAATAGTGAGATGATGAGAGAGAGAAGCAACAATAAAAAAAAAACTAATAAAAATGGATGAATTACAGTTCAGTTCAATTGTACGTTTGCGTTTGTATTGGATAAAGATACAGAGAAAAAGAGAGTGGGAGAGTAACAGAGGTTGGCACGCATTTAATGGTGCGGATATCGGCTTCTCTTTTGTTTGATTCATCGAAATGAATTGCAATGTTTAATTGCAGGGTGATGATGATGATGGTGGTGGTGGTGTTATTGGTGGGTTGCATGGACGGGAACACAAATTTTCATTCACATTACGCTATTTCATTTATCTGGAGCTTAAAGCTAAATAGGAATAAACATAAAAAAGAACAAACAAAAAAAAAAACGAAACAAAACTAAAAACGTTAAACGAACACAAATAATAAAATGTAAATAAATGACATTTTGTGCGTAGTATTATTATTTACACATCGGGTTCATTTATTAGTTACTCAATAAACTGGGGGTACTTGCTGAATTCATTGAACAAAATTATTATGCAATCTCAATTTCTAAGTGATTGTTTTGTATTTAGTAGCTTTGGAATATCTAATATTTGGATTATTGGTAATTATTTAATTATATTTTTTATAATAACGGTTCTATGTTGGAAATGACGGAACGTGTGTGTGGTGGTTTTTCTATACACTTGGTAAATTTTTTTCTTTTGATAAGTTGTTTGTTGGTAACAAGAAAAAACAAATCAAGAGAAAATAAAGAACACATTAAAACTATTATACAATTAGTTATAACTAGGTGTGGGTGAGTTAATCACTGATTGGTTTTCATTCTAATGTTATTTGGTCAAATTAATGTATTGCTTGAGTTGTATATGTGATTGACCTGTCTGTTGTTGACAGTTTTGTTGTTGTTGTTGTTGTTGTTTGGTGGAAGGGGAGGAATTATCAAAAGAGACCAAAAAAACTAAATTATATGAAAATTTATCATCACACTCGACACTTACCTTCTAAGTACTTTAATTTCATTTTCTAATGAGTCTTCTTTTCCTTTAAGCGCTTTTTTATCAATTATTTTTACAGCAAATAGTTGATTGCTATTTTCTTTGCTTTCGGCTAAACGAACTTCGGAAAAGGCACCACTGGAATGGAAGAAGAAAAGAACAATGTAAAAAAAAGGAAAACATCGACCGGAATACAAGTGGGTGGTGTAATCGTAATGGAAATAAATGTTTTTATCCGACATAAAAATAAAATATTACAAGCAAAATCCAAATTGGATTGTACAGTTGACCGAAACGAACCGACTCTAGTACAATTTCATTTGTCCATTCGTTTGTTCAGGTGAACACAATCATACTCAAACCAATACTCATACATTCCATGAGGTGACGATAAGTCAATGTCATTCGTTCACCATATTTGAATGATAAATGAATCTATCAGGCGATTTTCGATTATCTTGACATCGATTAAATTATTACGTGTAGCATATGCAAATGTGTAGCAAATCACTCGGGCAATACAGCCCGATTCTAGGCTATTTTGTCAAGTTGACTGCTTTTTTTTCTTCTTCGATATTCACAACTGCTGTGCGCAGTTTGAATGTGAAGTGTTGCGCAACAAAATCACCGACCGATTTCCAGATTTACGATCGCACTCTCTCTATCTTTTCTGTGATACGTGTGTATGCAAAATATTCGAAGCAATTACAGAATTACCAATTAGTGTTTGTGTGTGCATCTTTCTCGCTTCGACACTGGCAATTGTCGTTCAGTTGTGCGGGCTCGTGCCTTTGCTTTTGGCACACGGCAAGGTGTTTAACACAAATTAAACGGAGAGTCACTTACCATGCACGGAACAGTTTATTATATTGATTAATGCCTTGCAATGCACTGAAATATGTGCCCGTCCATATCTTTTGTCCGCAATTTTGTGCGGCGACACGAACAAGAAAGAAAGGAAGACACACACACGCACACACACACACACACACAAAATGAGAGCGAGAACAAATTCTGGCTAGTTTTTTGCATTAGGGTGGGAATACACCTTGCAAGTAAAATGCTTGCAGCAAGCATTTTTTTCCAACGTACTTCTGTATTCGATTCTAAGTATGACACTTGCATGCGAGTAAAGGTAGTGTTATACATTAGTGTAAATTTTGGTCATTATTTTTTTCCAAACGTCCACGAGGTAGGTTTATATGATCGATTTTATAAAGATATTTAAATATTCGAATAAATTCGATAATTTTAGCACTATATGTTCTACTTTGTGGGCAGTAGCGCAAAAATTTCGACCAAATTGTATGCAAGTGAAGTACTTGCTCGCAAGCATTTGCAAGCACTTTGCTTGCATGAAATTCTGTTCCATATTTTCGTGTATACGTCCACAAAGTAAATTGTACAGTGATAAAATGATCGAATTTCTTTGAATATTTAAATATATTTATAAAATCGATCATATAAACCTACCTCGTGGACGTTTGGAAATAAATATTGACCAAAATTTACACTAATGTATCACACTACCTTTACTTGCATGCAAGTGTCATTCTTAGAATCGAATAGAAATCACGTTGGAAAAAAATGTTTGCTGCAAGCATTTTACTTGCAAGGTGTATTCTCACCTTTATGCGCGCGCACTCGTTCGTTCGCTTGCGCCCGCTCAATCAATTTCAGTTCAGCAAAATTTCGCAATCAAATTGTGATTACCTGCTATTGCGAGTGTGTGTGTGTGTGTTTTTTTTTCATTCGCTTGCCATTTAGCCGAAAGCCCCAAAGTCAAAGCATTTACTTGCTGTGTCGCTGTTGTTGTTTTTTTTTCCTCTCTCTCTCTCTCTCTCTGTGTGTGTGTGTGTGTCTCTTGACAGAACATTCTAGAATAACAGCCGATGAAAAGCTATGATTTTCCCCTCGCGCTCCCGCACACAATTTTCCAATCGCACACATTTCCAATGATATAATCATTAATCAGTGCGCTGATTAGTTCATTCCATTTGATGCGTGCATTCAAAAGCAGATGGTAATCAACAAAAACATAACAAACGACCGCGTGCCTGACGCAGCATGCAGCCAAAAATCAGAGCGGGAGCGAGACGTTGTGAGAAAGAGAATAAAGAAAAAAAACAGTCGAAATTTTAATTTATCGCTTTTTCGTTGAATGGCATCGATCACCATTCATGCGTTGCACATTTTCATTGCGTATTTATTTGTACTAATATCAGGCATCAAGCATTTGACTAATAGACAGTAGCAGACGTAAAATACATTAAAATGTCTCAACCTCTCCCTCCCTTTTTCTCTGTCTAATAAGACGAAATGCGCGCAGCCGAACGAAACGAAATGAAACCCAGGTAATTTGCTACAAAATATGATTGAAAAGTAAATGAACAACACGAAAAAGAAGTAAGAATGGAAAAGAAGATTGAGCGCTCAACAGAAACAGAAGTAAAATACACAAAAAAAAAAAACAAGTAGAAACACATCAAAAATCGCAACAACAGTGGCAGCGACAATTTGCACACAATTGCTTGATAGAATGCAACGAAAGCTGAATTGACATTGATATAATACTGTGTGCGGTCGGAAAATGTATGCGACACTGAACAAAATTTGACGAAAGTTTTGGTGACATGAAAAGAGTGGAACGTGGAAGACAAGGGATGGGGCGATGATTGGTTGGTTGCTTGGTTTGATGATTGTTTAAACAACACTGCGGAAATGTTTTATCACGAAAATCAGTTCAATGGTATTAAAAGTCAGTGGTTGGTGTGTTGTGTTTAAATTTCAGCGATAAGGCGTGCCAGCATTTGGACGGGTTGACTTTTTTTTGTGTACGGTTGAATATGTTGTAAAACAAATGCCGGAAAAGAGCGACATTTGCTGAACTTGAACTGAATGAAGCATGAAAAGTTGAGAACTACGATTGACCCCATGAGTGGCTTCTAAGCTCTTGCACTCCTCTTCTCCCTTGCTTCGTCATGCTTTTGAATTGCTTTGTTTGGGACTTAAATCAATGACTCGTTTTATACAATTTCAGACCGTGCTTATTTGATTACCAATAAGCACGCCGCAGAGAAAGGAGTACAAATCAAACATCACAATGGAATTCGCTGGTATACAAATCGCTGGTGGATGCGCGACTGTGGCCGCGTATAATTTCTGTACTGTACAACGACTGTTTGGGTGCTCATAGCATAGAAACATACGCATTTACACGGCGATGACGGCGTTTTGTTTGGCATTCACCTTTTTCGGTGTAAAACTTTGTTGTCGCGGTTGTCGTCAGTTTTGTCATTGTCTGCTGCCCCCCAAAAAAGAAGAACGAAAAAACATTGTTCAACTTCAAAGACATCGAAAAAGTGGTGTGTGTGTGTGTGTGTGTGTGTGTGTGTATGTTTCCCATGGAAAAACAATACGTACGAACAATTCGAAGAGCATGCTAGCAAAATCGTAAAAACAGTGAAACAGCTGAGCACGGTCCAAATATGGTTTCAAAACGATTTTATGGTTCAACTTGGAATCGCGAATGTGAACTAGAGAGTGAGCACGAATAAGAGAGTGAGAGCGGGTGAGTGTGCACATTTTGCGACCGCGAATATACATAATATGATTAGTTATATTTTGTTTCATTTTATTTTTAGCATTAAAGCATTATCGCCGCGCTCAATCACTTTTTTTTTTGCGCGCACAAACACACACACAAATAAGTGCAAAGTTTTTTTTTCGAGTAAAGTTGTAAAGTTTTTCGACGAAAATTTTTTTCATTGCCACACATAGACAAACAGCAGCACTTATTGTTTTAATAGCATTTTGAATTTTCGCAGTTTGTTGGAAATGTCGTCGCAAGCGATGTCGTCGACGACGACGACGACGGCAGCACCGACCGATTGCTTTTTAGTTTAATTCGTCAAATATTCGGTTGTCGCTGATTTCTTTTAACGTTCATTACGTTGCCATTTTAATGTCTATTTGACATCCAAACAAAAATCAATGCGATTGTTTTTGGTTGTTTGAGGGTGCTTTTTCGCATTACTTTTTTGCCATTGGATATGTACAGTACATAGTGTTTGGTGTATCGACATAAAGGCATCCACAAAAGCCAATTCAATTTTTTTGTTCGCTCTCCTTTTCTCTCTCTCTCTCTCTCTCTCTCTCTCTCTCTCTCTCTCTCTCTCTGTTTCAACATGCGAGAGCTGAGCTGAGGTGATATTGCGTTTTTATTCGCCTATTTTCCATGATGATGACGATGATTACGATGCGCGAGAAAGCGAGCGAGCATACGCGCGCGTGCTGGCGGTCGGTGGCGGCTGTGTTGTCAGTGTTTTACATTTTTCCTCTGCCATTCTGTCGTGTGCAGTTGAAATGTAATTAGTGATTATTGCTTTATCTGTTGACATTGCTCCATTGCTTTAAATAAACAACACTCATTTACATAGAGACGGCATTAAACCAATAATTAAAATACACTAAGGCGATCATTTCGATTTAAAGCAATTTTTTTCGTCGATGTTGTTGCTGTTTTCGTTTCGGTTTCATTCATTTTAACGACAACAGCAGCTATTGCTCTATTTCCCATAGAGCACATTAAAATACAATGTAATTTATGTGACAAATGATAGACTCGCTAGAGATCGATTTCATTTTTGCAAAAAAAAAAAAAAAATATATGCACGCTATATAGCATTTCAAATGAGCACACAATCCGTGTGTATGTGCCTGCATTGAAAAATATGCCAATAAAATAGTTGTTGAAATAGTTTTCGCTTCGTAGCAAAAGAAGAAAAAATGGTATAGACTGTTAGGCGTTCGTTCGATGTGCATGGAATGTAGCGTTTGTTTTTTTTTGCAGGCGAGCGAGCGAACGAGAGACAGAGAATGAAAGAGAAAGAGCAAAGAGAATCGTTGATAAAACTTGTTGAAAACACGTGCAACCCAAAGGATACTGCAATAAATCCAACGGATATTCGTTATAATGTGATAATGGATATTATCGATATCGGAAAGTCGTAAAAAAAATATTGAACATAACTTGTTTAAACATAATTCCGGCACTTAAACGAGACAGGACACCAGTCGGCTCTGTACAAAGCCAAAAAAATACAGCACTTTCTTGCTCTCGCTCGCGTCTCGTCTCTCAATTAGGTGATAAAATATTATAGCGTCGAGAATAAAGTATTTTTAATATGGATACTATCGGCCGACACACCGGATCGAACGAGAGAGCGAGAGAGAGAGATAGAAAGAGTGAGAGATGGTTGAGCTGTATGATTCGGTGACTAAATGAAAACATTTCATCCCATCCCATCGGAATGGATCGTATATACTATATTGTCATGTCGATGGTCGGTATAATCATGTTAATTCAGTGGGAGAATCTCATTAAAAAAAAAAAAAAATTGTTGTGTTGTTTCACATCATTTGCTAGTTTGAATAGAGTAAAATTGTCGTCTTCCGAAGCACAAAATCGCCGAGACGGGAGACAGCAGCAGCACATTTGCGTTTCCATGCTGGGGCATCAATGACATCGTCGACATAGTGGCATTTTGGGGGAAGGGGGCTTAATAAGATACGAATTTTAAATAGATTTTACGGACGAAAAGCAAACACATATTTGGCGATAACAATGACAATGATCAAAATACATGTATCCGTTCGTTCTCAACCTACGATAATATATTGAGCTGTGTGGCTCGCTCCAATTCGATTCGACTCGACTCGTATCATTAATATATGTGTTCATCATAATTTTAGACCCCGTCGAGAGCAAATGCTGCTGCTGCCGTTGTCGTTGCTGCTGTTATTGCTGTGTGTATGCTATGTGTGGCGCTCGGATATGATGTGCAATAGCCACTTACAGCATCGAGGCGATCCTGTCGCTTTCGCTTGGCACCACGCTTCGAATCTAATGCCTTGCCATAATACTAATAATCTGATATGCGGGCATATACGCACACACATAGCTTGTGATTCCCTTTCGTAGCCAGTCATTTTACTCTTGCTCTCTCTCTCTCTCTCCCTCTCTCTTTGCCCCATACACTCGCTTTGTTTCATTACCCGTCTCGGGATCTGGCTTAAGTGACAAACAACACACAAACACACTTATGAAATTGCACACTTATAAATCGGCCGTGCTTGTAGTTTGTGGCATATATTTAGTGTGTTGTCATCTATTGAATATAGACTATAGACCAAGATAGATAGAGTAAAACCGTTCTAATCGCATAGATTCATCGAAAATAGCGATTCGAAAAGCAAATAAAACAAAAACAGAAATGAAATGAAAGAAGAAGAAGAAGAAGAAAAAAAACACACGACTATGAAAATGATTCGAATGAATATACACAGAGTGCGAGTGCGATGTGAAAACATGAAATATTGGCGCTATACACATGTACATATTCTCAAACTCAGACACACAGTCACTCACCCACCAAGAGAGATATATTATTACAAAAACATGAAAATGTAAACCAAAATGACAACTTACGTTCCTAACATCTCCTTAAGAATATACTTGTCCTCGATCGAAAACTGTTTATCCGGATCGCGAGAATCACGTTTCGACTTTTTGGTGGAATTTTTACCAAATAACGGCATTGCGATTGGATTTCTTTTGATTGGTTCGTGGAATTTTTGTTGTTGTTGCTGTTGATATTGGGTAAAACTATGTTACACACAAAAAAAAACGGTGTATAGAATTCGACGGTAACAGGATTACCCAATTCGGATGCGGTGATGTTGATTAAATGCTTCTTCTTAATTGTTTTTTTTTTTCTGTATGTGTGTCAGTGAACGGTTGAAAGTAGTCAGTGCATGCACTCACACGTCAATTTTGAATGGAATGCTGTGCTGCGACGTTGAGTGGACCGATAATGACCTGATTATGTGTGTGATTGCGTTCGGAATTTTTGTGTTCGATGTTCAGCCTCTGTTCGTCGGTTCTCTTGAATTGTGTGTTATCACTAAATGTTGTGTGTGTGTGTGTTTCGTACGATTTTCCCTTACACACTATTTGCTCGAATGGTCGGTGCACGCGTACATTAGAATCTTCTTCTTTCTTTTTTTTTTTTTAATTTTATTCTCTACACAAATAACACCGCTCACTTTTCTGATAGATTCATTTAATTAATTTACTAAACGGGATTCGTCTTCAAATTTCTCTCGCTCTTATTATATTTTATAAACGATGGAATCAAAATGATAATTGAAGAAAATGAAATGCGACCGTTTCATTCAGATGATAATTGTTCTTATCACGCACTCTTTCTTCCGAAAGAAACGCATCGAATTAATACTTTTGCTTTTTGACGATTGAAGCTCACTCGTTCGTTTCGTTTGCCTCACGCGTACTTTGCTTACTTGTTTGCTCTCACCCCAAAACTCGTGTAAAGGTACAAGAGAAATTCATTTGATTCCGAGCTGCTGCTTTCCGTATTGGCTCACACTTGGCATCAGCGGCGAGAGCGCGCGCGATGAAGAGAGCGCGAGCGAAATGGAGAGAGAGAAAAAAAAACAAACGATGAAACAACACATACACCACCGCACTATGATTTCCAATTTCAACTGTGCTCTACGGATACGCGAATGATGAATTTTGCGCGCGCGACATACAATAAATTCTCTCTTTTTTTTTGCTTTCGTTTTTCCTTCAAACAGACTTCTTGTTTTGTTCTTGTTTCGATTAAAAATCCTTGATTTTGTTGGTTTTTTTTTTTTATTTCTTCGATCGTTCTTGATTTAACTCTTTCTGTCAAAGAGCAAATGGGGAGAAATGCTTGAACCGTTAGCAAAGTCGAAGAAATTCGTTGGTTTTTCTTTATTCTTTCTTATTGAAGTACACACGACAACCAATACACACTGAATTCTGCCGATGTGGATGCTACTGCTGCTGCTGTTGCTGCTTGACACACACGACCGAGCAAAATTGGAGTGTGAAAGAGATAGCGAGCTCCGACTCAAACTTATGGACCCGACCAACAGAAGAGCAGAGAAAAGACACACAGAGAGAGAATCTTGTAGCTACGACAATATGCGAGAACGTAGTGCCGACGGTTCAATGGCGACCACAATAACACTAATCATTCGGTTCGGCTGACACAGAGAGATGAATACGACGACAACGACAAAAAAAAACAACAACAACGGCCGTTCACGAAGCAGAAAAAAAACAACAAGAAAATCACAAATTCATCGAATCACAAACTCTCATATACACACAGAGATAGAAACGGTTTGTGACGGGTGAGCGAGAGCGCGCGCGAATTGAAAAGCACACGAGTAGTTAACCAAATCGAATTGGAATATGACCGACACAGATAAACACATTCATGCAAAGATTTCAACACTTCTTTTCGTGATTTTTTTTTCGTCTATTGCTTTGCAGCTATTGTTACTGCTGCTGCTGCTGCTATCGTTGCTGTTGCTGTTGCTGTTGCTGTTGCTGTTGCTGCTGCTGCTGCCAACTGACTTCGTTAACTTCAACTGGCTGTTGTTGTTTTTTTTACTTCTTTGCTCAGATGTTGTCTTGAATTTTTAGACGTTTTTCTAGTTTTTTTGCGTGTTTTTCGTGTGATGGAATTTATTTCCTATGACATCAACAAATCGATTCACAAATATCATGTTAATTTTATTTATCGTCGTTTTCTTCTTGTTTCAGCCAAACAAACATATTCAATCAAATTTATTATTTGTTGGTTTTTGGCCTTCTTGTCAGTTCGAACACACAATTCCAGCTACAGATATCTAAGCAAGAGCAACGAGAACAAGACAACCCAACGAGAAAAAAAAACATTTAATTTGTTTTTTTTTGTTTTGTTTGTAACAAACACAAGCAAGATACAACAGCCGAATGGTGAATTGTTTTAGAATTTTGACTCTTCGAAACAAGAAAATTGAAGAGGTTTTTCTGTTCTTTTTTAAATTCTATGCCTTAATATGCTTCGATAATATTTAATTTGGTAAGTTGTTTTTTTGTTTCTGTGTTTTTAATTAATCGATTTTTGTTGTTGTTGCTGCTGTTGTTGTTGGCGCTGACTTAAAATTTGTTCGCCCCCAAAAGAGAAGAGAAAAATTGCCGTATTTCATTTAACTAAACAACAAACAAACGAAAACAAATTTACAAGAAATTGGTTGAATTTTTCTATATCGTTTCTATTCAAACTAAAACACTTTTACGCATCACAGTTTCAGATATTCAGCACGAATAATGTGTATAATCCAGAATCGAGTACTCAGAGCAGCGAAATAATGAAACGAAATCAAAATGTAAGAAGAAGAGGAGAGACACACACTCAGAAAGAAAATAAAAACACCATCTATATACATATTACATTCATACATAGGCTTGTTTGTGTGCTGTGTATGGCTATGTCTGCAAAACAGTTGATCCTGACAGTGTATGTTTCATGCGTTAGTTCGTTCGTTTGGTCGTACATTTGCTACGGCTGCGGTTGTATGTGTGTGCACGGCTCCAATATAGCAAAAGCACCAATCTATCTGGAGAGTGAGTTGATGTAAAAACACGGAGCGGCGCAGTAGACACAATTTTCATGTTTCACTTTCGTGGTGTGCATGTGTAGTTGCGTGTGCTCCCCGATGGAAAACGTCACACACAACGTACGAATGACTCTAAACATTTTACTCGAAAAACATTGGCCACAATTTTGTACACATCATGGCATTCGTATTGCATGAATCCAACCATTTATCCCTCTCGTTTTTTTTTTTTTGCAATTTTACTGGGAAAATTCAATGAGCAAAATGTGGATTTTAACTGATGTGCGATTTTTATGAGGGATCCATTAAACCAGATGACTTTTGACAACATACAAATCACAGCACTTTGCATGCACTTCGTGTACTCGTAGCGACATCTATTGCCTATTTGATACGGCACTGCATTCAAATCGTTCAAATTATTGCGCGAAGCTTTATGCACAGCCGAATAAATCTGGATTACGAACTTTGTCGAAAATTTCCGAAACTTTGCGTACTGGCAGGTTTCTGGTGGTTTATGACGTTTACATCGAAATGAACATTTTGAGAGACGAAAATAAATGAATTAAACATAAGTAGCTCGTTCACACAGTACTGAACTGACTCATTTCAAAGGATATTCATCTCAAGTGATTTTTCATTTACTCCTCATTTTTGGAGATTGAATCAATGAAATTCTTACAACGTATTTCTCCAACGAAAATACTTTTTCTCTAACTTTCGTTTATAATGTTGCTCCATTTATCCCGGACTCAACTAAAAATAATTTCTCAAGTCAATAAAACGATTCATCTGTATCAACTGAAGATGAAATTGGGCGATAAACTTCTGTAATAAAAAAAAAGGTGATTGATTTGGTTTTAATGCGTTGAAAATACGTTTAACCCAATTTTCGAGCATAAATTGATGCGACGATATTCAAACCTAAAGCGACGAAACGATATGCTTGTCCAAGAAAAAAAAAACTGCATATTCAACATTAGAAACGGTTGTTTTTCCCCATCGCCGAATCAATCGCATCTGTTCATTTTTATCATTAAGATTGATCGTTTGAGCGTGCGAGCACACAGTACACTCTAGTGACATAGCGCACACACACACATCTGTTGATGATCTGGACCAACAGTGGGAAGTTGCATACGAAGAGCATGAGCATTGAATGTGAAATTATATTCCCATAAACAAAAGCGAGTTGTTCTTGTGTGAGCTTTCTGGTTTTCATTATTCAATAGTCAACACAATCGGCATTCGTCGGGGGGACAATTGCCGACTTGAGCATTGGTCTCATGTCGTGTGGTTAGGTGTAGCGAACGAGCGCGCGCACGCTCATTCGTTCGACGGTGTGAATGTGAGAGAGTGCGGCATGAAAGTGAAATTAGGTCAATAATATTGAAGAAAATCGGTATCAATGAAGAAGAAAATCAAGAAAAGAAAGCAACAAACGACACAACTGAATAAAATGAAGAAAAAAAAAAAAAAAAAAAAAACAAAAGTATTCAAACGAGTAAGTGAATGAAGATGATGTTTAAAATAAAACAGCAAAAATAGCAGAAACGAAGAAAAAAGCGACGAAGACACATTTAAAAAGAGACGAGGAACCTTTTTCTTCTTCATTATTATTTTCGAATAAATGAAGAGTGGATCACATGGTGAAACAATAATCGTTTATAATGCACACATACGCCCGCTCAATTAATTTGCGCGTTCACATCAAGAGCATTGTTGGAAAGCTAAATACCGTCGAATATTTAATGCTTTTTTTCGCATGCTGTGAGATTCATGTTGGAGTTGTTGTCGGTGCGCTCTTTAAAATTCAGCATGCGTTCTGAAAACAAGGTGAAACGAGAACTGTGTCGTACTCCATCGCGAATTTTTGGGTTTATGAATGCTGCTTTTCTCTCTCTCTCTCTCTCTCTCTCTGTCCTCTTATTCCAATGATTTTCTTCGGAATACACACACCACATGCAAAATAAAACGGCAAATTATTATGAATAAGAAATGAAGCAAAAAGAAGACTCAGTTATCCCATTCAGTTGCATCAATGGTTCTCAAAAATGCGGCCCATTCTAGAAACAATGCACACATTCTGCGCACTCCACTTGAATCGAGCGATGCGATTGAGTTTCGATTCTCATGTTCCCAAGATTTCCAAATGAAATGTGAATTAATTTTGATGGCATGGAATTGCTGCTTCGGCTGCTGTTGTTATTCGAACTGTTGCTACTACCGCCGCTGCTGCTGTTTTTGTTTTTTTTGTTTCTGGGTGCATGAACCAAAACAATGAAGCAGAACATTTTCTGCACTCAAACCTATTTTACCAAATAAACATGGGTTTTTATGAGTGCCGCACATCAACAACACGTTATATTTAGGTATCGCTTTTTTTGTTTATGTTTTTCATATTTACTACTGGTTTTGTCGATGAATTTGACCTACTGGTCCAGTTGTGCGCATAAATCGCATTACGTCGAACGGCAACGGGAGTAGTTGGCTGCAGGCAATGGTTTTATGGAGAAAAATGACCAGCGTCCAATAACCGGGTTTTGTACTCACTAAACGATGTTTAGTAAACGTTTCCAAAAACCCGGAAAATATACACCAAATACCAAGAAACCAAAAACCTTTTGAACCGCAAGAACCTCATCTCGTTGTATTTACAACGTTGATTTGGTAATTGGTTAGTTTCTTAAAGCAAAAAGGTTGTAGATTAATTCTATAAATACATGTAAATTTATGATTTTTGATCAAGCTTTTTTTGGTTTTTCATTATCGTTGTTGTTATGGTTAATAAATGCATAAATTAAGTAGCGGCAATATGAATATTAATCAGCAAATATTCGATAACGAGACAAAGGAGATGACGCATCGAAATCGATACGTATTTGGTTTGTGCGTGTATGTGTGTTTCAGCTTGCATTCAATCGGAAAATCTTTCGCTTCACCGGTACATCGCAATTTTCGATGATATCAAGAAAGTAAATGATCTCACATATTCTTCTTTTTTTTTTTGTTGAAAACTGTCAAGATTTCAGAAATCGGTATCATTCTGAGATGCATCGAAAAATTACCATAATTCAACTGGAAAATAATTTGACGATGCAGCACCAAAGCGGCGCACGAGATCACAAAATAAGAAGAGAAAAAAAAGTCAAAACAAAAAAAAAAATTAAGTAGGAGAGTAGATTGAGAAAAGTTGAGCGTTTATCTTGTGAACGATGCACAATAAGCTCAAATCGCGCATAGATTACAATTATCGTTGATTTGATTAAAATCTTGTGAATAAAGTGGCGTGCGCCGTCATGTCTCATGTTGTGTGCGTCTTGAATGTAAAAAAAAATTGTTCGATTGTTGTGTTTTTCGTTTCTTTCTTTCAGTATTTTTATTTCTCTTGCGCGTTTCAAAGTGCTTTTCTTCGAAGCAACACACAACCGCCACATACGTCGCCATACATGTAATGTATATACGAGAGTGTTGTTGATCATCATCGTCGTCGTCGCCTCTCTCTCTCTCTCTCTCTCTCTCTCTCTCTCTCTCTCTCTCTCTCTGTCTCTGGTGTGCAAGTTGCCGCGCGAGTTCCCAGAACACAGACAAAAGAGCCAAACGAGCCAAAGCCACTGTGAAAACTAGGCAGCAAGAAAGAAATGGAAAAGAAATTTTGCGTTTCGGAGAGAGAGAAGAGAAAAGAAAAAAGAGCTGAACACACTGACTCTGGACTGATTGACTGGCTGGCTGGCTGGCTGCTTTGTGATGTAACTCTATAAAAGCAAGGTGACTGCCGTTGCTGCATGTATTTTTCGTTAGAGTGTTGTACAGTGAAGATCTCCGACCATCAATTCTGGTTTTTATTTTTTTTTAGATTTTCGGATTCACGCGAAAACACACAAGAACGCAAGAACCCATTACGGAATTAATATTAACCAAACCAAATAGTTTGTACGTGTTTATTTTTGCTCTGTTCTTTACTACCACACCAATTCTATCTACTTACTTTTTTTTTATTAGCTAGTTTTTAATATTGTTCATTGTATCTGCTTAGTTTTGCACCTCATTTTGCTGTTATTATTGAGAGATTGTCTAAATTTAAAGCAAAAAAAAAAAGAAATGGTTTGATTCTAACGCTTTTTTTATTCAATGTTTGAATTGCCCCAATTGGATTGTGTGCTTTGTCGTTCGTTTGAAATTTGCCTGTGGCACGATTTCAGCAGCATAAATGGTTTGAATCAAATTGAAACGGAATTTTTTACGTTCTTTTTCTTTCAATTCGTTGCTCGTTTTGTTTATCGACCTTTTCATTTCGGATGATTTCGCGATGCGAGTGACAGCATTGATAGTGTGTGTTTTTTTTTTTTGGTTTTGTTTCGGTTATTTATTTTGTGCACGAATCGTCTTTGGATTTCGATTCTGGTGAATCGATGAAGACCACAACTATAGCCCATACACAACAATAAACATAATATAGTCAACATATAGAAAGTTTTGAAAACAAAAAAATAGTGTCAATCGAACGGGATTTTATTTCGTTAGAAAAAAGAAAAGTCAAAGAACTTACGTTTCTCAGTAAATTTGGCGGGTGCAATTCGCCGATAGAGAGAGAAAGAGAGAGATAGAGAAAGAAAGGGGAAAAGAATGTTTCTGTTTTTTTTTTCTGGTGCATTAATCAAATATCCGCCACAAACACAGCACGATCTAAATGGACATAGTTAATCGAAGAGCATTTTGTTAAGAGCGCTTAAATTGGCCAGAGAGATAGATGGGTTGGCAATTAAAAGCACCGAGACTAAAGTACTTTTATGCTGTTGTGAACAAACATTATATGTGGATTAGAGAAATGAGCGCATGCCCGTGTACATAAGCGACGAACGGCTCGGCTCGGCTCGGTGGATGACGAGAGCGCAAAAAGAAACGAGAGAAATAAAATCGCAGCTAATGGCTGTTAAATGCAATATCGAGTAAATTACACACAGAAATCCGTATAAATGAAACAACAAGAACCTGAACACGAAATAAGAAGATGGAGAATAAAAAATAAAGCGAGATACACACAGAAAACAAAACAAAACAAGTAAACTACAGAAAGAAAGTAAGACAATTACTGAACTTGAACGTTCGCTCGATATATGAATGAATGTAACAGATTGAAAAAAGCATCGTTTATGTTTATTTCTCTCATTTTTGCTCTCCTCGAATAGTCGATTCGTTGCCGGAAATGAATCGCCTTTTCTGTTACGTTTTTTTTTTTAAATGTGAGAGCCTAAGTGGCGAATACGAGCCCATTGCGCGATATCTAAATAAGCATATGTGTATGTGTAATGTGTTGGTCGAGTTTCTGCTTTGATGCAGTTTTTCATAATGAGCTGCCGTCGTCGATCGCGGCGTAACGAAATGCAACAGTTTTGTATTTTGGGCTTTGACCCCATTTTCGAGTTTCACATGAACTTGTACTTGGAGACCACCTTCAACCGGTATGCTGGCGCGTAGCTGTGTTGCTGGCGGTGATGTGGTTTTGCTTTGCAGCTTTTTTCTACGTTTGACTCCATTGCATATATTAATTCGAACGGTTGTTGTGATCTTTCTTCTTCTTCTTCTTCAAATTTTCGGCTGAGCACGATCCATTTTTTATTGGTATTTTGACACACAAAAAAAAGTGAAAATGGTGAAATGTGCGCCCCTTATTGAACAAAGTGCATGGCTCTTTCTCATTTGACAATGTCGATCATGAATTCCGTCGTTCTTGACATTGATACCATTGATGACCGGTCGCAAGCGGTTTTGCTGCGCTTCGTGAGAGCGTCTCACATGAGACTCACAATGTGAAACATACCAAATCAGCATCTAGTTTCTATTATCATCAATAAACATTGTTATTGCGCGCCAGTGTTGGCCATATAACGGCATATAGAACTTGATTTGTCAACTCGATTCGGTTCGGTTCGGTTTGGCTTTCCGTTTGTTCTTCGTCGTCGTCATCATCGTCGTGTGCAAATAGATATCATTCACTCATTTAGCTGTGAGTCGTTTCTTCGCACAATACAATATCAGTGTCACATTAGACCGGTATTGTATGTGCAACATCAATGAAGATGGCAAACGGGCAAACTGATACTCTCACAGACACACATAAGCATTCAGTTCTTGCACTGAAGTACTGAACGAAATACACACAAAAAAGAGACGAGTGAGAAGAAAACATGGAAAAAAATACACCGTTTAACGAATAACAGCTACAACAATGATAAACACTGTGCGACGATTATGATGGCATATCCAATCCCGATTCTTTTTGTACCATTTCGATATATCGAGTGTGTAGTTCGTCGTGTTTTGTTGTTTTTTATATGTTTTTTTGCCTTCTCACATGCTCACGCTCACATGCCACATTTCATATGAGCTTAAGTTGATTGGCTTGTCTGAGATTCGGAATATGTGTGTGTGTGTGTGTGTGCGCACGTTTTTTCCCATTCATTCTCCTTCTCGTTAGTTAGTCAAGTGTGTATGTGTTCGCCTTATTTTGACCCAATTCTTAAATTCATTTATGTGTTTACCAGAAGATAGATAATGGCACTTGATGGCAACTTTGTTTAGTATCCAATGTTCTCGTGCACATAAAAATTCCCATATTAATTATACACACAAGCATGGCACACACTCATGCCATTGCCATTGAGACAACGACAACGACAACGACGACACAACTTTAAATGAATAACAGTAATATTGTGATTTTGGCTTATTGAAATGAATTTTAAAACGACGAGAAATTAGAAAGATCGACAGAGACACTTACGGAGAAAAAGAAAAGAGAAAAAGAGCGAGAGAGAGAGGAAAATAAAAAGAAATTGTGGAAACAGGTACCAGGTCGCGCAGTGCGGCGTAAACTAACAACTTTTAACAAGATGCACACTCTAGCTTTTATCATGGGGCTAGCAGTAGAGTCTGCTTGTTTGCTAACTTCTTCGTTTTGTTCGTTGAGAAATTCAATGGGTCGTTTTGTAGCATATACACTTTTGAACTATTGGGTCATAAAAGTGATAAATGACGTACGTGAGATAGCCATAATAACCGTAGTTTAACTCTTTTTTTGCATATTTCATTTATGTACCGAGCTACGGTTGAACACGTACACTTACCATGTCTCCATATGTATATCATAAGGGCACTTGAATAATAATCGCTCTTCGACACCATTTTCCAAACGTGTGTGTGTGTGTGTGTGTGTGCTGGTTTTGCAACAAAAATGCGGTTCGAACGAGAGAACAAGCCATCGTCATCGTCGATGCCATCGTTTTTGTCGTCGTTGCCATTAAATAATCGAACGAATGCCGAAAAAAAGAACAAACAATACAAAACCACTAAAAATTTGTTTGGAAAATCGTTATCGTCGTGACGGTGCTTAGCACAAAATTTCCGATTTTGGTGCCAATATCTCTCCTGTTTTGTTATCATGCCAGTGTTGATTCGACGATGTGCACGACATCGACGTAAGCACACATACAGTGTGACACAGAGGCAGAAATAAGAATAATCCGAATGAAAGTTTTTCGCCATCAAAACCGGCAACCAGTTGCTCAATGGAATTCAATGTAAAATTCCGTCGTGTCTACTTCGGTCGGCCAATTCACGCAACGGTATCACAAGCCAGAGTGATAATGGAAAGTGGACAAGATAAATACGTTATCAGCACGAGCAGAAGAGTATAGTGGTATTTCGGTGTCGATTACTTTCGAATCGATTGAATCGATGACGACGAATGGCTCGATGGTGGTGCTTCAAGTTGATTGGTTTTCGGCGCTGATATCGTCTGACCAACACAAATCTTTTGATTCGATCTCATCGGCTTGTTCTCGCTGCCATTATACACATAATAATTGTGAACAAGGGACTCACAAATCATCGTTTGCATCGATGAGACGTGCCGTGCAACTGTAATACTTTATTACTGTACACGTTGTTCGCTGCGTGGCTGAATATGCAAAATGCGTACAATAAAATTGCGCACATGATCGCTTAATTACCAGACACAAATCAAGTTATACATATCAAATGGGACGAACGGAGAAATGCGCTCGCGCTCATGCTCACGCATATTCACCATCGAACAAAAGAGACTCAAAAAATACTTCTTCGGCATATCGAGTGTGCGTTCGATGACCAACGTTTATCTCGTTGTCGACAGACAAGTTGAAGAAGATGCAATTGGCCATTGTTGAGTGAGCAATTTAGACGATGAGAGAAGCTCTCTGTGCCTTTGCTGCTGTTGCTGCTCAATCTCTCTCTCTCTCTCTCTCTCTCTCTCTCTCTCTCTCTCTCTCTCTGTGTGTGTGTGTGTGTGTGTGTTGTGACCATGTGAAAATGAACCGTTATCCATGGTATATTCAAGATGCATAATTGGCTTTCAATATGGACTTGCCTTATTGCATTTCTTTATCGTCGTTGCGCTCCGCTTTTCATTTTGCATTTGTATCGATTTTTTTCCTATTCATTCACTTCTTCTTTTTCCTCTGGTTGATTTCGTTTTTGGCCTGAACGATTCGTTCAAAGCGCGTACACACGCACACGCACACCGCGAAAAGAGAACCAAGTGTGGTCGATGTTGCGCTGTTGGCCATATTTCTGCAAAACGAATGCGTTTAAACCACATTAAAGTAGGTGATTCGACTTATTATTTAAATTTTTTCCACGGTCTCGCATTCTTAATCGTACACACATGCAGACGCGAACGAAACAAGAAGAAGAAGAAGAAGAAGGAAAAAACCGGGCAACAAACAAGCCGTACATATTTAAGTAGATACGAATCATGATTAGCACTGTACACCATCCGATAATTTGAATCTATTAAAAGAAGAAAAAAAAAAACTTCTCGGCATCGTGCGCCACACAACGATTGCCGCTGCTGCCGCCGTAAATGTAGCTGATAATAACTGCGTCCTAAATAAACTCAACCGATTAATTAATGGTCCGTGTTGTTGCAGCAGAAATCGAGCTAACTAAAATATAAAAAACCTATTCAAATGCGGTTCAAATGAATGCCTTCCAAAAATGTCGACAACGAACAACAACAGAAACAAAATTAAAACAATACGCATGTCGACTTCAAATCAAACGCACAAAAAAAAAAAACAAGTAACATAATTGCTCGCTTCTGCCGACACCGAAAAAGTAGAACGGTCCAAATACAAAACACGGTGTGTGTACCGTTGACCACCATCTCCGTTTCCGTTTCAATTCAGATAATAAGTGAAATTCATGGAAGTTAAAATCGATTTAATTACATAAAACCAACGGTGAAATACAATATATTGTGACGAATGCTCGTTCGTTCACTCCCTGCAACCAGCCAAAAATCAAAAAAAAAAAAAACAACAACGAATTTACCGAATTGAATTCTTAATTGAATTTCTTTTTGTTTCTTCGACAACATCGAAAGACAACATGATAAATGCGAAAATGAAATGAGGTTATCGATGTCCCGGTTCTTCAAATTAATATGCGCCACTCAAATTTTTTTCGTTAAACGCCCCGAAATCACGCAGCGCACGACAAACTGTTCACAACTGTGCGTGATATAAATTTAAACGAAATGAAATTTAAAAAAAAATCAGCGAAAAAAAGCGATTAAGCGTTACGATATGTTGTTTATATGTTGCTGTTTTGATGTCATGGCGACTTTCCTTTGAAATGAGCCACATTTCAAATCTCTCTCCGTGCGCATGTGTGTTTATGGACGAGTGTGTGTGTGTGTGTGTCTGTTTGCTTTGGGAAAATGATCGCTTCCGCAGATAATTTGGCTTCTGATAAGACGGAGATATATTTAATATGCGACCGTTAAGGAAGTTTAAATTTATCATTCAACTTAATCGTCTAATTGGAAAATTTTCTCTCTCACAGCGCAAATTGCTGTTGTGCGTGATTTCACTGCATTTTTTTCAGTCTCGTATATTTTCGCAAATAATTCCGTTGTTAATCAATTTTAATCAATCGAAAACGATTGCTTTTTTAATGACAAGACTCAATTGTGAATATTTTTGTTGATTTTAGGACTCCAAAAAAAAAAAAACCAAATATTTAGTAAAAAAATGAAGCTGACCTTCCTATTGCTGTTTATGACCATAACCGTGATTGCTGTTCAACTAACGACTGCATCGCCTGTGCAAGTGGTACAAGCATTTAACGATGGCTCCAAATCCAATGAAGTAGCTCGACAACAAACAGTCAGCGCGGCCGCTGCTCCTGTCGCCCCCGTTGAAGACGACGACGATGATGATGACGACGATGACGATGATGACGATTTGGACATTCTAGACGATGATGACGATGATGATGATGAAGAAGGTACGTGACTTTGTGCTTGAACAAAGTTATTCTATTGCAAAAGCTTATTTGTTGCCATTTTTTCACACAAATCATGAAGAAGAATCATTTCGAACAGTCAAACGATGACTGAGAAATTTTATCGTATCTCCTACAAACTTATAATTGGCCCCATTCAAGTGCTTGAACACAATATAACATAAAATGTCCATTAAACAAACGAGTTTAAAACTATCTCAAAATTTTCCATAGAAAGCATTAGGTCAATCCAAGATCGAAGAAGAGATTTTGGGTAAAAAGACATTTTTTCTCATAGAAAAAGATAAAAATTATATAATAAAATCTAAAAAAATAGATTGAATTTATATTTCTCTTCATACTAAATTTAATGTTTTTTTTTTTTCTTCATTTCCAAATGTTTTCATTCAAATTTGGAATTCTAGTTTAAGAGAAAACTTTCGCTTGGTTTCTTTTTTTGATGAATCTATATCTAAAAAATATGAATTAAAGTGAATGAAATTCACGGAAAAACTTCAATTTCCTTGAAATGGAATTCCATTATCAATGTAGTTCATTAGTAAGAAATGGTCACCTGTTCTTTTTAAAAACGAGATTAGGTCAGAGATTGTTTAAGCAAATGTTTATTTGACTTAATTTAGGAGACGATGATGACGACGATGACGATGACTACCTCGAACGATTCTTCGATGACATTCTTGGCGAAGACGATGACGACGATGAAGATGATGATATAAGCCCATCGACTGGTTTGGTACAACAGCCAGCTGCTAGCGTACAACAACCAGTACAAGTGGCCACAAATGTGGTCGAAGAATCAGCAGCCGGAGGTGAATATTACCCAGGTAACTGGTCATAGCCCCATAAAATCAATCGTACCAACTGAATTTCTGCATCTAAATCCGTGGCACACGTATGACATTTTTTGAATCATTTTGCATTTGAAACGAATTTGAAAGTCGTGAAAATAGCAAAGAATTGCTATGATGTCGAGATCAAAATGCCATGCGATGCGACGCGATGCGATGTGGATGAATGTGACTGTTTCAGATGGCCTTTTGATATCGATTTAAGATCAAACAAATCCTCCAGTGTTGGACATTTCCACAAAAATACCACCAAATCAAAAATCATTCACATTGTACAGTTTTTGCACCCCACCATCGAATTAAATTTTTGTCATTTCCCAAAACCAAAAACAAAAAAAAAAAAAACCTAAGAAACCGACAAAGCAATAATATGAATTCTATCGGGTGAACGAAACAAAACAAACAAAACCAATGTATTTTCTTTTGGGGTGTGTGTAGTGGAGGACAATTATAACGAAGAAGAAAACACTGTCGGTGTTGAGGTAGAAAATATTCAAAATGGTGTCGATTTAACAGCCGATTCAGCGTTGAAAGATCAAGCAAATGAAGTGCAAGCGGTAGCCGCTGCTGCTCAACCAGCCGTGCAACAAGTCGCTAGCGCTGCATCATCCGATGACGATGACGACGACGATGATGATGATGACGAAGATGATGTAACCGACTTTGAAGAAGGTAAGACCACTTGCAAATAGACAGTGTGTATGTGAGCCTTTGCTTCATTATTATCAGCGCATGGCCATTTGCTCTGGGCCAGTGCGACACACTTTCTATTGGCTAGCGAATGGTGTGGCTTGAAAGCTGTGAATTTGCAGCGAGAGAAAAAGAATTCGAAAAATTCAAAAAAAAAGAAAAGAATCGTGGTCCAATGCGGTTCGCTATTTTGAACATGTTCACATTTTTCATTCACATTGTCGGCCAAATAACAATTTAGTTACGACTTATTCAACCACATGAAACACACAACAACTGACTCTTCATTCGCACTTATCGGCTGTTTTTTCGTGCCTCAGTTGATCTCTAAATTAAGTAAAAACATATTTACTTTAAATTGAAATTCGAAGCTTTTCATCAAAACGGCGTATAAGTGTTAAGGCGAGTTGTTGACATGCAATACTTCCGAAAATTGGCATCGATCATTTTCTGAATTTCACATAGGATTTTTGCGAGATTCGAATAACACTTCTCACGCCCTGGCTAAAATAATTTAATTGAATGAAACATCCCTGAATTTTTTTAGCCCTGGAAGATGATGACGATGACGATGACGACGATGATGATGACGACGAAGAAGAGGTAAGTGTCATCCCCCCATCACATCATCCATCGACTCACCCACAAGCAATTGAAAGTGAATTGAGTTAACCGTTTTCTGATTTTCTTTGGGCGTGATCGCGCCTCATTCTATTCAACATTATTCGCGGCATCGGTTGGAAACATCGGAAAATTGTGTAGGATATCCTTGGCGAAGATGCTCTTGAAGCCCGTGGACGGAAAGCACGTGAGTCAAAAAAAATACATAAATAAGTAATTCAGAGACACACACACACACACACACAAAATCGATCGATACGAGCAGCGAGCGATCAGTGATATCCGTTCACTCGCGCAAATAGAAAAAAGTGCAGACGAAACATGTTTTAATTTAAGACCGAGACCACCACCCCAAAATCAGAAAAAAATATCAAACACACAAACAAGAAAGCATTGAACAACCACAACAACAACAATAAAAAAAATGGATAGAATCTGATCAAATGACGAAATGAAAACTGGAACAGAAAACCGAAGAAAAAAAAAAACAAAAACAGAGAGGAGAATTTGAAAATATTAATTTTCTTTGCACATTATGTACAGTTAGAATGCCAAACGAATTTAAATGTCGAAGTTTTCACTCTAAATGTAAAATGTTCAGAAACAAAATGAGAAAAAAAAACAAACGAAGAGTTTGAGCCAACGTTGATGATTCAATTGTGGTATTGGGCCGCGTTACAAAGATCGAAACTCAGCTTTTGCCCTCGAACAAAAAAATGCAGAGCAAATTATGAATAAATAAATTGTTTTCGGATATGGCTGAGCATGCGTACAATGCCAATCACAAATGAGTCGTCAACTGTGTGCGCATGCGCTTGTATGTATGTCGATTATTGCATTAAGTTTAAATGGATTATTGTAATTATTTATTGCTATTTATATTATGTGTAATTATGATTGGTTTTTTTTTTCTCGCTCTCTTTCGAAAACAACAACATCAACATACAAAAAAATGCCTATCTCATCCACACTCTGTTTCATCTCCTTTTCGGCGCACTTTTTGCTTTCGCTTTTTGGCTTTTATTTCGTTTTGTCTATGGCCATTCTTGGCATATCTATATAATAAATAAACATTTCTATCTCTCTATTCTCCGATGAGACAAAGTCAAGTTGTGAGACACATTCACACTCTCAACTGAATTCTTTTTTTTTTCTATTATTATTTTAAATCGAGCATTTAGTCCAATTAAGGAATAACGTACTCTTTTTTTCTCTGTCTTTCTGCTGAAACAAAAACTAAAACAATGGCTCTACATTTCATGTAGTGCTAAAAAAAACAAACAGTAAAGCTTAACTCTCTCTATAATCTTCAATCACACACACACACACAAAATCTATTCTTCATTTTTCTGCTTCTTCATTTGTTTCGTTTAGAATATTTGTATCACACGGCGCTAATGTATTTTAAACAAATTTAAATTATTTATTTATTTATTTTTACTTTATTTATTTTTATTTATAAAACAAACGAATCAGAACAAACAAAAATTACACACGAAAAATCCTTTTCTTTGTAAATGTTTAGCATTTAGAATCAAAAAGTCAATGTCTCATGTCGCTTTTTAAACAAAACAAAAAACTGTGTACGATTATATATTTGTTTTTCTTTTTAATTCTTTATTAGCTTTTATGTTTTAAAAAAAATCAGGGCTGACATCATTGAAATCCTTTGAAATTGTGAATTCTGCGCAATCAATCAGATGCGCATCGGTCGAAGGAGCATTTCTTTGTATTTTCTTCGAAATACTTTGAATGGACTAGTTTTCAATATGAAACGTTGAATATTTCAAAGGATTGCGATGTGTTATGCCCCGTCTCAACATAGAAACACAATACAAACAACACATTTACACTTACACTTAAACTTACACACACACAACACACAATACACAATTATTTAAAGAAGAAAAAAGTATGATCCACACAAAAGACTTACACACTTACACGTACGCAAAAGAGAGATCGATTGAACTGAGAACAAAGGACAATTAAACGCCCTTACTGAAAAACCACACCTCAAACAAACACAGACACTACACAAAACACCTATACCACAGAAAAACAAAAAAATAGAAAAAAAATTGATACAAATCAGATACATTGAACAACAACAATTAGCCAATTGATCATAAAATAAAATGAAACCTCAAATGACCGTAAACAAAAAAAACAAACAACAAAACTCTGGCAATTTTCTTTGTAGTTTAGCTGCTTCTGAGATCTACGTAGTAAACGTTGTTTTTTTTATTTCTCTTCCACTAATCGTAATTTTGCTTATTCGTTTTCTCTTTTCCTCTTTCGCGCTCTCTCTCTCTCTTTCTCTCTATTTATCTAGGTGCTTCTTGTTAATTTGCAAATTTAGCAAACATTGATCCGTATCTGAGATTTCAGGTGCCTTTGCATGTCAACTGCGCACTTAATCGATCGATGATTTGTTTTGATCATTGATCATGAAATGTGTAGCTGATGTTTGCCTGTCTGTATTCAATTTCTATGCGATTGCTTTGCGCTTAATTTCCACTTAGTCAATAAAAAGTGTAATATTTATCTGGTGCATATGTCTGAACCCATCAACATAGCTTACTGTGATTGGGAATGGGGGGATTCACCTCTGGAATGATGACATTTTTTATACGGGACTTTTCAATTATCGTACGTGGACATAATGACGTGACGCCCAAATTTACGATCACTCTCACTCTCTCTCTCTCTCTCTCTCTCTCTCTCTCTCTCTCTCTGCGTTTAAAAAGCTCTCTTTCAATCATGATTTTCATTGAATTTTGGCTTTAATCCATCAAATTCTATTTTTGGTTACTTTCATTTGCACCCATTTTGCTTTCAAACATAATATAAATCGTATACACGCATTTCGGTCTGATTCCCAGCTCAATTATCACACATACGCACACAATCTAGTTAAAGTAATTTGAGATTTCATTTTCCATTTTTCCCATTTAAATTGTAATACTTTTTGGCACAATCATGCGAAACTGTGCGGTATTAATGCCGAAAAGAGAGAGAGAGAGAGAGAGAGAGAGAGAGAGAGAGAGAGAGAGAGA